CACAGGCTCCTCCCCCTCGGCCGGCCCCGCCCCTGCGTGCCTTACGTGACGGTGACGGCGACGGCGTGGAAGCCGGCGTGGCAACAGCCTGCGCGGGCGTTCTAGGGCGGGACTTCCGGCGGTGTTCGCGAGCGTCTTCCGGCTGCGCGCGAGAATTGTCCGGCCGGCATCCGGGACATGAAGGTGAGCCCCGCGGCGGCCGGCCGGGGAGGTGTCCGCGCCCCGCGTTCCGGACTCCTGCTCCTCCTCTGCACATGGCCTCAGTTCCCCTCCGCGAAGTGGGCGCGGGCGGCGCGAGGGAGAGCGGTGTGAGCGGGCGTGGACCAGAGGGGCGTGTGCGCCAGAGCGTGTGGGTGCCGGTGGGAGGCCCAGAGAGTGAGACCTTGGACGAGCGTGAGGGACCACGAACCTGAGTGGGGACAGCACACGACAGGTGGTAGGGCCCAGAGAGCGGTGGCCAACCTGTCCCAGGGGCCGAGAGGCCAGGCCGGAGTGCGGGGCAAGTGACCCCATGCTTGTTGGGGTGCACTGGGCTGGACCCCACCTCGCTCAGCCCCCAGGCTTGAAAGCGTAGATTTTCCACACAGAACAGTGATTCAACCGCTCCTCGCTTCCCAGGTCCCTAGAACTGAACTCAGAGAGGTCAGGGGACAGCAGTTGGTGGCACAACTGGAGCTCCAGCGGTCTGTGGCTTTCCTGTTTCCATCGCCCCGTCTTAGCGTAGGGGCCACACACCCCTCTGTCCCGCTTTGTCTTCCACGAGGGGGATGACGACAGGACTGGCCCAGGTCGTGGAGAACTCCGCCTGACGTGGTCGATAAAGGTCACCCAGGGCTGCGGCCCTGCCCCGAGGCCACCTTCGTCTCCACGGGCCATGCAGGAATTCAGTTGGTGAGAACTCGGATAGGTGACCGGTACACTCGCCATTCTGTTGAGGACCAAGTCGGCTCGGGGGCCAGACTGGTGTCAGAGACGGACACTCGGGGCACGTCAGTCGGCATTTCTCAAATTGCACGTCACTGAGTAGCGAGACCGATTTGACTGGTAGAAACCAGTGTCTTGAAAATGAAGGAGAAATGATCAACATGTGTCACATCAGGAGAGACCTGGTCAACTGCTGTCACTGCACACATGGCACGTGTGCACACACGAAGCGCACACGTGTACTGGGCTGTGGTACACTTCCTTACTGTGGATCTTGATGGAAAACACTGGAAAGTCACCGCTGTTCACTGCACTTTGGTCACACCACTGAAACGATCCTCCCCAGAGCTGGGACCCTCGAATGGTGCAAGCAGCAGGGTGCAAGCAGCAGGGTGCAAGCTCTGGGTGCAAGCAGCAGGTCCAGAGCCCTCTGGGCAACCAAAGGGTGAGCTGGTCACTACACTCCGCGCCCCCTCCGCCCAAAATAGGCCCTTGACGTGAGGGGACAGAGCTCGCTCTGACACAGGACCACGTATGTGTGAGCTAAGCAGTCGGCTCTAGGCACAGCGGCCTGGCGGACACCTGCCCAGATGCACAGTGGGGGCCATGGGAGGTGCCCAGACGAAGGCCTTGCCACAGCACGGGTACCCCGAACATTACGCAGCTCACACACGGGGTCCCCACCACCAAGCACCAGGCAGGCAGGCAGTCTGGAAAGTTCCGTGGCCAGTCAGGGAGCAGCCCAGCTCCAAATGCTTCTCTCTGGGTGCTGTAGCCCGTCACCCTAGAGCTGGCCCCCTGGGCACAGGCGGCTGTGACAGTGCCAGCCCAGGCCTCATGCCGTTTTGCCCTCCCGCTGCCCCTCGTCTGGGCACAGAGGCCAGCAAGGCCTGTCTCCCTCCAGTCTGGCCCATGTCCACCCTCTCTTCTTTCTTCTCTGCGGTGTGAAATCCCAGGTCAGGGCTCAGGCAGAGGAGTCTCGGTTCACCCGCATGGTGGTGGGGTGGCAGGCAGTGGCCGGAAGCCCCCACTTTCAGCTTGGGAAGCATCCTCCTGCTTCGTCTCATTCCTTTCAGTGCTCAGTGACTGAAACCTCCACCCTGGAGCCGAGGAGAAGCCCACAGTCGTGCAGGGGCCGGAGGGGGCTGGGGCCAAAGGCAGAGTGCCCCCCCACCATGTGGCACCTGCTAGCCCATCCCTCCCATGTGCACACTCCTCATCCAGCACATTTGTTCAGGTGTCTTTCTGGCCTCATGGTGGCTGAACTGCTCAGAGCAGCCCCCTCATAGGTTGGCAGCTGCAATCTCAGCCTGGTCAGGGGAGTGACAGGTGATTCTGGGGTCCCTCTCCCCCAGGCTGCAGTCTTTGGTGATTCTGTCAGGAGCGGGGCTGGTGGGGAGGGGCGAGGTCAGAGGGCATGATCTGGGTGTGGGTCTGCATATCCTTCCTTCACACCCCCTCGCAGCTGCCCTGTCTGTCAGGGCGAGTGCTGCCTTTCACGGGAGCTCCTTGTCCCTTCTGTCCTCAGAAGCCTTTGAGCCAGGCCATTCGTGCCTCCCAGGGAAGGGACCCCTGGGCTCTTGGCTCCAGGGCCCTGCTCTGCAGCCCATGCAGGTATGCTGTGGGTGTATAAGGTGCCACAGCACGGATGCCCACTGCCCAGGTCTCCCATCTCTCCTAGGGAAGTGACAGCCCGGAGCGGGGCGGCCTGTGCCACTCTTCAAAGGGAAGCAGGTTGAGAGGAGAGTTCAGAAGGGGCGAAGGGCCTGGCTACCAGCTCCTGACAGGCACACCCTGCCTGGTCCAGGCCCTGGTGTCACCAGGGATGTAGGGGACTGTGCGTGCCCACCTGCTGGGCAGGGGCCTAGGCCCCTCCGCTGGTCTGGAGGAAGCACATGTCAGGGCTCTGAGACTTCGCCGACGTGCTCTTCACACCTGCACGTCTTAAAGCCCTGTCAAGGATGACAGCCAGGCTGGGCCTGCTTATCGCCCAGCTGCCCTAAGAGAAAGGTGAGGCAGAATTGCATGGGGGGGGCGGTGGTCCCAGGACCTGAAAATGAACTGCGCAACTAATAAAAGTCCAGTGCAGAAAACACAGCTGAAGCCAGAGGGCCACATGTCCCTCAGGTCAGACAGCCAGCTCATTTGCTGCTCAGTGTCCCCTTTCCATTCCGTTTCTGTGGGTGAACCCACAAGAGTTTGAATAAAGACAGACCCGTGTGCTGAGTGTGTGTCCTAACGTTTGCTCCGGCCGAGCATCGCCGAGCCTGTCCGTGTTCCAGCAGGAGGGAGTGCGGGTTACTCTCTGCGAAGAACATCATTGCGTGTTCTCCGCGCGTGTGGGGAAGTCCCCCAAAGTGGCATCTGTGAAAGAAAAACGTGTCAGAAAGCGCGGTATTCGTGGACCGCGGTCATCCAGAGGCCTCCCCAGCTCGCATGCTGCGGCCGCAAGGCAGCCCCTTCCCGCGGTCCTCGCAGACCCGCCGGCGGAGACGCGTCTGATTCCCGCGTCCGGTCCTCTGATTTCTTGCAAAGCTGAGGGGCCATTTCTGGGGCGTGGGGCAGCTTTGTATTCGTTCTTTTTGCATCCTTTATTTTTGTGGTGGGGCATTTTTTATTAGAGCATTTTCTATTCTTAATTCGTGGGCGTTCTTTATATCTTCCGGGTACGTGACGGATGGAAATCCGCTGCTACTTGTGTCCTAAGTCCTTTTTTTCCTGGTTTGCTTTTTCCGTTTCCCGATTGGAAGTTTTGTGTTCTCACCTGTGAGCATTTCCTTCCATAACCTCCGCTGTTGCTGACGTAGTTGGAAAAGGCCCCCACCCCTGAGTTGACATGAACGGGCACCCATGTTTTCAGTCTGCTGAGGGAGGGGAGAGCCAGCTGTGAGAGAAGCCAGGGGCCACCTGTGCTGGCAGCTGGACTCCGGCCAGCAGGGCGGTCCAGGGCTGGGCTCCATCCTGGGGCCAGTGCCCAGCCCAGTGCTACGAGAACCCAGGCTCTATTATGACAGGTTCCCCAGTCAGCAGAGGGGTTGGCCCACGCTGCTGCTGGTCTCCATGTGCCCTGCTCTCCCGGCAGCCCCCTGAATCCCAAGGTTGGACCCTGCTGTGACATGCCCGCCATGAAGGCGCTCCTCAGCACACTCTGGCTTGCTCTGGCCTGTGGCTCTGTGCACACCACCCTGTCAAAGTCAGATGCCAAAAAGGCCGCCTCCAAGACACTGCTGGAGAAGGTAAGGGCGGTCTGGGGGCTGGCCAAGGGGCTGACCTGTCGCACGTCTTTCCGCTTGCGGGGGCCTCGAACCCGCGCAGCTGGTGAGCCGGGAGGCTAAGGGGCTTGGCTCTTCGGGTGGCCGGCCCTGTGCTACCCCAGCGCTCTGGCCGGGTAGCCTCAGGGAGCAGCTTTGGGGGCCTGAGGGTGTGCCTGCCCCACCGGCCATCTTCTGTGATGATGCCCAGATTTCGGTCCCCACCTGCGTTCTGCTTCTCTTGACACCGGCACCTGTCCCACCTCGTCAAGTTCTGTAATGTCCACAGCAGGGAGCAAGTCAGCGTGTGCCACGTTTGTGCCTGTTTCTCGGTGGGCCTGCCCCTGTGGTCGGGCCTTCCCCTGTGGTCGGGCCAGTGTCGCCATGTGGATTCTGGGCGCAGTCCCTTGCTGGGTTGAAAAGACCGCTCTGCTCCTCGGGCCCTGCCCGCCGCCTGCAGATGGCAGACATGACGGCTTACTCCCTGTTCCTTTCAGACTCAGCCTTCAGAGAAGCCTGTCCAAGATCGGGGTCTGGTGGTGACGGACCCCAGACCCGAGGATGTGGTTCTCGAGCATCGTAGCTACTGCTCCGCAAAGGCACGGGAAAGGCACTTTGCTGGGGACGTCCTGGGCTACGTCACTCCAGTAAGCCGGGCCCCGGGTGGACAGGGTGGTCCCAGGGCAAGGCAGGGACGGGTCTGCCTTCTCACTGGGGCTGCAGTGGGGCTTGCAAAGGGGTCCTCTGGGGGCACAGGCCCTGTCCAGAGGCGGCCCTCGGGCTCAGCTGCAGGGGGCTCACCCGTCCCCGTGCTCCCCAGTGGAACAGCCACGGCTACGACGTCGCCAAGGTGTTCGGAGGCAAGTTCACACAGATCTCGCCCGTGTGGCTGCAGCTGAAGCGGCGCGGCCGTGAGATGTTCGAGGTCACAGGCCTCCACGACGTGGACCAAGGTTCTCCCCGTGCTGCTCGCCCCAGGGCCCGGGGGGTGTCAGTAAGCGTGTATATGAGAACATGAGTGTGTCTGTGTGTGAGTATGACGACCGCCCGGCGTTGACCTGCATCCTCTCCTCCTTGGCGCTGTGCATGTGATATCCGCAGGGGTGTCCAGGGAGGGGATGAGGGCCCCGCCGTCCAACAGCGTGTTTGGTGGGCCTGCGCCCGAGGTTGCATGGCTGCCCCCCTTGGGTTTGGAGGGGACACAGGTCCCAGCCAGTTGTGGAGCCCTTAGGGGCTCCCTGGTGCCGGGAGGATAATGTTGGATCCTGACCCTCCAGACACCCCTCAGCTCCAAGAAACAGTCCCGAGCTCCGTGGGGTGTGGTCCCTGGCACGGCCGCTTGTCCTCTCCAGCCATGGGGTCCGAGCTGCCCGGGCCCAGGGGGCTTCCAACTCGCGAGCTCTCTCCCTCCGCCTGCCTTTCCCTCCCACCATGCAACTGGGCATTTTCTTCCTTGGGGTGGGCGAGGGGCTGTGTCCCCACCTGACTGTCCTTTCCACGTCCCACAGGGTGGATGCGGGCGGTCAGGAAGCAGGGCAGGGGCCTGCGCATAGGTGAGTTCCGGCCTCTGGATGGTCAGGGCACTGGCCTCTGGGCCACACGCCGAGGGGTGGAGGCCAGCGTGACCTCCCCGTGGGTGGTTGAGTGGCCCTGGGGTCTTCACCTGTGCCTGGTAATCCTGGCCGTGCTGCCCGGTGTGTCTGTCATTTCCCCCACCGCCCAGAAACAAGGCAGCCCCTGGCCCAACACTCACAGCCCTCGGCCCAGCTGGGGTCCCGTGACCCCTCCTGCCCATCCAGGCTCAGCCCGCCAAGGCCAGCACCTCCTTCCTGAGCACGCACCCTCCCATTTCTTCATTCACCCACGAGCATTAATTGAGGGCCATGGGGACCAAGCCCCAGCGTGGAGCCAGCTTTGTCCTGAACTGTCCCAGAGCTCACAGCGGGCCCGGGAGGGACACCCATCCCAAAGGGCAGTGGGACCAGCACAGGGTCTGGGGAGTGAGGGAGGCTGCTGGGGCCAGGAGGAATCATGCAGGGCAGAGGCCGGAGGGGCCCTGTGGTTGGCATTGACAAGGAGCCGTCGGGTCAGGCCGGGGTAGAGGGTGGTCCAGCAGGCTCCGGACAGTGAGGAGCTGGGACATGCAGGGCCTGGGCAGTCGGGGGCCGGTGTGTGAGGTCAGGAAGGGGTCAGCATCTCCATCCTTCCCTGACCCCCTATCCCATGCATTGCTGGGATGACCGTACGGGGTGCCCGGCTGTGTGGTCAGCCTACTCTGGAGGCCAAGGGCCAGCCCGTGGGGTGGGGCTGCGCGCGGAGGGTCACAGTGCCGGCGCGGGCCTGTCCCCCAGTGCCTCGGCTCCTGTTTGAGGACTGGACCCGCGAGGATTTCCGGCGTGTGTGGGACAGTGAGGACGAGATAGAAGAGCTCAGCAAGGCCGTGGTCCAGGTTGCCAGGGTGAGGCTTGGCGCTCCACGGGGCCAGCATGGGCTGCCTCTTGACCACAGGGGTCCCTGGGGCGGGAGGCCTTCCCTTGGGTGATGCCCAGCTGTCCATGGCTGGGCTGCAGGGGTGAGGGTTCGGGGAGGCACAGGAGTGGACAGCACATACACAGGAGCCCTGGCCTCTCTGCTTCTGGTTTCCATGGGGACCCCCACACCACCCCTTCAGAGAGGGGCTTGCGTGCCTGCGGCATGCCCCTCAGACCATGACCTCACTGGGCGGGGGAGGAGGCTGGCGCCCACTCGTCACTGCTGGGTCATGGGACCCTCCTCACCTGGCCCGGCCCTTCCAGGACCAGCACTTTGATGGCTTCGTGGTGGAGGTCTGGAGCCAGCTGCTCAGCCAGAAGCACATGTGAGTGGGTGTGGGTGGCGCGGGCCCCTCCTGGCCCCAGCGTCCTGGCAGAGGCTGGAGGAGGACGGGAGGGCTCTGACCTCGCCGCTCTGCCGGTCCTGACCCCCGCGTGGTGGTAGAGGGCGCGCTGGGGGGACGCAGCCCACGCGGGGCGGTGGAGTCAGGCTCGGACGCGAGCAGGAGATCCTGGCCAGGTGCAGCGGGGCCCTTGAAGTGGACGGCCACTGAGTCCTCTGGGGAAAGAATTCGCTGCCCAGCTTCACGGGCTTGGCGCTGGCCCTCCTGGGAGGTCCCTGAGGCTGGATTTCAGGAGAGGATGCACAGAGACGGTGAAGGCTGAGTTGAAAGTGTGAAGGAGTCCCCGTGTCGGCACACGGGTGACCATGCAGTGGCTCCTGGGACTCTGTCCCAACAGACACCTGGCTAGGTGGGTGCTGCTCCAGGGGCACAAGACCATCCCTCCTTTCTCACGAGGACGTAGTCCCCAGGGTATTCCCAGGAGACAGAAAGGCATGACGTTGACAGGTGCTGAGCGCAGTGGACAGTGACAGCTCTGGCAGAGCCAGTGCTGGCCTGGCGGCGGGCCAGCCTCCTCGGGTTACGCTTGACCGCTCACAGCCAGAGCCACCTCCTTGTGCACAAGTCACCTGCTAGTTTGAGCCACATCGGTGGTCAGCACGGACCTGGCCCCACCTCAGCCTCACCTGTGCTTTGCAGATTCACACGAGTGGGGAGCCGAGTGGGGGTGGGGGTGGCCTTCGCCCTGGCCGTCCCTGCTGGTGTGAGTCCGGGCACCCAGCTTCTCTGACCTGCACTGCTGGAGCGGGGAGACTCACCGTCGCTCTCCTGAGGGGCTGTAGGGCAGGGCAGAGGGCTGGTCACGCAGCGACATGGGGGCCGGGGCAGAGTGGACGCATGGGGCATGGGGCCATCCGGAAACCCGGCCGCGTGCAGCACGGCTGCGTGCAGGGCCAGGCCACGGGTACCCGCCGCTGCCTGCGGGGCTGGGGCGTCCTGACGGGTTTCCAGGCCGCGGCAGGAGCCAAGCTGGTCTCCTTCGTGCTGGGCACGCTGCCAGCCACTGAGACACTGCCACCTCCGGGGGCCAGAGGAGCCCATGACGACACCTCCTTTGTCCCCCACCTGGTGGCCTGCTGAGACACTCCCCAGTGTCTCGGTTCGTGTGGAGGGGCATGCCCAGTGCTCACCCCCAGGTTCTCATTCTGTGTGCCCCAGGATGGGACACCCCATCCCTGCACCCCCTCCTGTACCTGAGGCAAACAGAGATCTGTCTCCAGCGTCTACCAGGCCCAGGGTCGTTGCACAGGGGCTGGGCAGTCGAGGCTGGCTCCTTGGGGAGCCAGGTGGGGCCCCCTCGGCACAAGGCCTCGTCGGTGGAGCTGCCCCCGCTGTCCTGGGGCTGGGGCATATCTTGGGGTACTGTATGGCCCTGTGTATCCTGTGGGGGTGGGGAACCCGCCACCCGCCCTGGCACGTGCATGTCTGCGCTGTCGGGCCGCGCCACCCTGTGCCTCCAGGGCAGGAAGTGTCATCTCAGCCGAGCCTGCTGACCCTCCACTCCTCACAGGGGCCTCATCCACATGCTCACTCACATGGCCGAGGCGCTGCACCAGGCCCGGCTGCTGGCCATCCTCGTCATCCCACCGGCTGTCACCCCCGGGTAAGTGTCGCGCTTGCTCGGGGCAGGGGGCCTTCCCGGTCAGCACCCAGCCCCTGCGAGCAGGTGCTGCAACCGCCTTACTCGCAGGCGTGAAAACCAGGGCTGGGGACCTGCGTTAGTGGCTGAAGGCTGTGACCCTGTGGGAAGACACGTTGAAGGTCCCGTGTCCATCTCACCCTGTGCTGGGCACTGAGGAGGCCCTGAATCCCAGCGTGAGGGCCAAGGGCAGACCGGGGTTGAGCAGCAGCAGAGGCAGGAGAAGGCCATAGAGGCCAGACAGGACTGGCAGGGGGCTCTGCCCGGCCTCCACCAGCTCCCAAGGGGACCAGGTTGGACACACCTCAAGGGCCGGTGGTATCTGTTGGGGACATTCACTAGCTGATAGACTCACAAACGAGCCAGGTGACGCTTCTGCAGAGCCTGCAGGCTCTTCCTTGGCCAGTTTTCCTGAGCTTGGCCCTTATGTCCCGTGATGCCCAGTGCACGTTGCCAGAGGCCTGCGCACTTTGCACAGCCTGGACAGCAGCCTCCCACCCAACTTTTCATCCCCACTTGGAGGGTCCTCATTCTGTCAGACAGGCTGCAGCGGGGTTGGGTGCTCTGCAGGCCGGACATCAGGCCTGTGTCCGCAGCACGTCTGCCAGAGCCCATCTGCCTGCCCTTCCTCCCGCACGTGGGCACAGGCGACTGTGTGGTGGGGCCAGTGCCAGCCAGGCTCCTGTGGCTTCCCAGGGTCAGAGCCAGGCCTGGGAGGGAAGGAAGGGCCAGCTCTCTGGGATGGCCGGGGGCAGACTCACCCACAGTGGTGTCCCTCCCTCAGTCCCTGGTGTCTTTGGGTGGTTCGAGGTCAGCCCCCAGGCTGGGGCTGCCCAGTGCTCCTGCTGGAACCAGGGTTACCGCCGGCAGCCCCCTCCCTGGCACAGGCTGTCCACGAGTGCAGGCGTCCCCATCCCCCAGGCTGGTATTGGTCTGCGGCCAGTTAGGAGCTGGGCCCCACAGCAGGAGGTGAGTAGCGGGGGAGTGAGCAGCCAGCATCACCACCTCAGCCCCACCTCTGATCATCAGGCACTAGATTCTCAAAGGAGCACCGGTCCCTGGCACCACAGAGGTTGGGGACCGCTGCTCTAGTGGGTACGGAGGGCAGACTCACAGTAGACATGCCCCGGGGCAGGGTGAGCAGGCGGACGCCCCTGGTGTCCGACGTCTGAGCTGGCAGTGCCCCTTCCCGCCAGTGCCTTCTCTGCCCAGGAGCCTTAGTGGCCGGCAGGTGTAGACACATGAGCTGGGGCTGGAGAGAGCGCCTCAGTGTGGTGCCTGGGGATGCCTGGAGGGAGGGGACCGAGGCCACCATGGTCCCTGTGCGGGGACCCCAGGAGTTGGCCTTATTGCAGGCACCTTTGCCAGTCCGCACACTTGCTCGTCGGCCCCCATGGAGCCCAGCCAGCACTGCCGCATTTCCTGCAGCGGCGGGGCCCATCCCACAGTCTGCCTGGAACCCCGGGAGCAGTCTCAGCCGGAGGGGTCGGCAGGGACAGGCGCCATTGTCTGCTTTGCACTGTGTCTGGGGCCCTCCCACCAGTGCTGACCTTGATCCCTGCTCTCAAGGTCACAGTCTGCCCTGATGGAGCTGTGTTGTCCGGTGCTCCTGGAGCTCTTGCTCAGCTTCATGCACGACCGGAGATGCCAGCGCTGAGCTGGCTTAGAGCCAGTCACCCTCGCCACTGCCTCCAGCCACGCCTCCCAGCTTCTGGCCCCGGGGGCCTCGCGGCTCCTTGCTGAGCCTCAGGGAGCTGAGCTCCCAACAGGACGGCAGTTTCCTCCTGGATCTGCCGAGCCCAGCCCTGGCTCGCTGTCCTTGCTGCTGGTGCCATCTCAGGTGTCCTTGCCGGCAGATGTCCACCCTGATATGGGCTACGCTGTCCCCCCCAACTTCCTCCAGCCGCCCCTGGGGTTTCCTGCAGCCTCAGGCAGGCAGTCACCCCATGGTCAGGAAGGTGATGAGTAGGGTGGGGATCCTTCTGGGGGCCAGGGATGGCCTGCAACCAGTGTTGGGGGCTCCAAGGGGGCAGTGGGCACAGGTCGGCTGTGGGTGTGGGACAGGCGTGGAGCGACGTGGTGTGTGTGGACAGGGTGCAGGTCTGGGTGTGGAGGGCTGAGAGGCCTGCAGGCCGGCGGTTTCACTCTGATCCTTGTGGGGCAGGTGGACTCGTGCTGAGTGGGACAGCCAGAGAGGGACAGGTGACAGCTGGGGGCCTGGGTGACTGGGCCTGTTGGGAGCAGATATGGGTGCCCTGATAGTGGGTGGGCCTTCTGCCTGTCACCGGCTGGGTCCCCACCAGGGCCACTGTGGGGGCTGCGCTGCGGGCGGTGGCCATGGACCAGTCGGGGCAGCACTTGGGGTTCGCCTGACAGGCAGCATGTCAGGGTCGGTGGGGACCGCAGGCAGGTTCATGTTATGTGGGGGAGGAAGGTGGAGGGTAGACCACGTGGATGGGTTACGTTGGGGAGGGCGTAGGGAACACTTGGCGTGGGGAGAGGACACTCAGAACCATGCAAGGTTCCCAGCAGGTGCGGGCCACTCCACAGTGGGGCGCAAGGACGAGAACCATGGCCAGTTGGGGTCCTGGAGGAGGGCAGAGCAGGAGCCCAGGGCCAGAGGGCCGCAGCCTCAGGGAGGGGTAGGGCCCAAAGGCCCCTGGTGAACCTCGCATCCCCACCCATGCTCCTGGCACGTGGCCCTGAGCACACCAGGTGCCAAGTCCTTTCCAGGGAGTAACCTGAGGTCCTGGAGTACAGCAAGAGGAGTGTGGGCCTGGGGCGCCCCAGCCCACTGCTCTGCCCTCAGTTGGGCCCAGGCGTCAGCTGGGGACAGACGGGCTGAGGGCCGCAGGGTGCGTGAGGGGCCGTGGTGGCTGTGTTTGTCTCCTGCAGGACTGAGCAGCTCGGCGTGTTCACGCACAAGGAGTTTGAGCAGCTGGCCCCCGTGCTGGACGGCTTCAGCCTCATGACTTACGACTACCCCGCAGTGCAGCAGTGAGTGGGGACTGGGGGACCTGCGGGCTCTAGCTTGGTGCAGAAATGCCTGCTGCCTCCGGGCCTGGACACTGGATACTCAGGCGTGCTCAGGGCCACACTGCTGGCAGTTCTCAGTGCTGAGAACATAGAAGGCCCCATCTCTTCCCCGACACCCACGATTGGCCCTGCGTTGGGCAGTCTTTTTATTTTAGGAGCATGTGACAGAGGGCAGTGGGCAGCCCTCGTGGGAATGCCATCCTGGAGTGTCTAGCCACACCTCCAGGGCCTGGACTCTAGAGGGCAGTCATTGGCGCTGGGCCTGCCTCGTTGCCTGGGGTAACAGTGCTCCTATGGGTGGGGGTCGCTCTCTCAGGGGGCTTCGGGCCTGGACCTGGGCCGCCTGCTCCCTGAGGAGGGCCCAGCTGAAGCAGACACGAGCACTGGCGGGGAGACACCACAGGACGCCCATCGCTGTGCCCCTCACTGTGCGCGCAGATCCCTGCCCCAGTCTGGGGGGCCGCAGTGGACAGCCCGAGGCCTTTGCCTGCTGCCGAAAACCACTCCTGCTCTGCCCTGCAGGCCTGGCCCCAATGCACCGCTGTCCTGGGTGCGAGCCTGTGTCCAGGTCCTGGACCCCAAGGCCAAGTGGCGGAGCAAGATCCTGCTGGGGCTCAACTTCTACGGCACAGACTACTCGACCTCCAGGGATGCCCGCGAGTCCGTCGTTGGGGCCAGGTGAGCCTGGGCTCCTGCCACGCCAGGCAGCCTCCTCCACCCTTGTTCCCATGGGTCTGCGTGTCTCCTGGTAGTGCTGGGTGGAGCGGGGAAGGCCTGGCGGGGGTTGTCAGGGTGGGGCCATCCCAGGCTCTCTGCTGGCGTTGTCCCTGTCAGTGGGCAGGTGGCACATGGGCTTGGCCCAGGGAGACCCACAAAGCTGCTGTCTGGGGGCTCCCATCCTCACGTGGGTCGGGACTTTTGCCCAAAGGCCGGCTTTTCCATTCTCGCTGTGGCTCTGCTGCCAGTGAGCTCCGTCCGGCTTTGTTGCACGTGCTTTCCGGAGCATCTTTGCTGGGCGGAGCATCGTGGCCGTCCCCTTCGTCCCCAGCACTTTGAACATGCTGCAGTTGGACTGCGAGGGGCTGCGTGTGCGCCCTGTTTCTCCCGCCTGGTCTGCCGTGAGCTTCGTTGGGGTCTGTGGGTTTCTCCTTCAGATGGCTTCCTGCCCCGCCCCACCCCGGCCCTCGAGCGCGTGTGTGCGGGTCCGCGGGTCCGTCCGGGCCCCTGGCTCTCGGGTCCGCGGGTCCGTCCGGGCCCCTGGCTCTCCTGGTGCTTCCTCGGGCTCTCTCTCCTCTCTCTGTTCCGCTGCTGTCTTCACGGTCAGCGGCCGTGTCCCATCTGCCGTCAGAGCGCCTGAGCCTCTTCTTTCTCACACCCTGACCTGCCGTTCGTCCACTGCACGTGGCTCTCAGCTGCTTGGCCCCCCACCCCCCCACCAGTCTGTTCAGGTTCTGGTCAGCGGTCGCTCCTTCGAGTTGTCTTGTCGCCCGTGCTCTGGGTCGGGGGCCAGGTGTGCGTTCTGCCTGGCTGGGCACTGGTGCCAGGTGGTCCTGCGTCTTCCCAGCCTCGGAGACCACGTGAGCCGCTGCTGCTGTCCAGTGCCGTCCCGTCAGGGGACACGTGTCTGGAGACCGCCGTCTGGCACGCAGCCCACACACCGCTGCGGCCGGCCTTCCCAGGGGAGGCTCTGCAGGCCACCCACGGTCCCGCTCACCACCAGGGACACAGCACATCGGCCAGGCTGGAGGCGGGTGCCTGCCCAGCTCAGTGCCTGCTACCCCTTCACGCCTGTCTCTGCCCGGCATCCATGG